AAGATCAGAAGGGATCAACAACAATTGTTGTAAATCTTTGGTGGGATTGTGGGCATAATTTTGTTGATAATTAGAAGTTTTGCTCTTCCTGTTTCCTCCACCAGACTAGAAATCCACGAGAGCAGGCATTGGACCTAACTTGTTCATCTTTTCAATCCAAGGGCCTACAACAGGGCTTGAGGCATTTATTTAAGGAATGAATGAAGGGACAAATGAATGAGTGAATGAAATGTTTTAAAATTAAGTAACATTGTACAAAAAGGGGTTTTCTTACAGAAATTAGGACATTCCATGAGTTTCAGAACAAGGAAACCACCAGGTTAATATATTGAACAAGTTCCTAATGGCTCTAAACAGTGCTTGGCATCTAGTAAGTGCACAATACATTTTTGTTGAATGAGGGTACAAAAGCGATTAACACATAGTCTTTAATGAGTTTAACGGATGTGCAGGGGCTGATAATATGGTGTTATTGATGCCAGCATTGCAGAAACCCACTAAATAACTTTTTCTCCCCACCCAGATAGGGATCTAGTGTAGAAATCAGGAGGGAATCAGACAGATGGCGATCAGCTTAGTCACTGGTGAAGGCTGGATGTGCGGCTTCCTAATCCTCCATCCCTGACGTTGCCCTCCAGGCAGCGGCCCGCCTGGCCGTGTCAGGGAGCAGAGCAGAACAAGCCCTGGCCAGGAAGGTCTGAACAGAGAGTGGTGATAGGACTAGGTTGGGCACCCCTGTTCCTTCTCCTTCTCCGCTGGGAGAGAAGCGTGAAGGGAGGCCAGGAGTGCTGCTCCGGGTGCGCGCCCTCCGCACGGAACTTGAGGCCACGGGAAAGAGATGCAGGTGCATGTGGGGTATTGTGGGCATCTAAGGCCTTCCAGCCTGGCGGTCCAAGGAAGGCTGAGTTAAGTTTTGAGGTCAAAGTTATTCAGACAAGAGGAGACAGAAAGGGCATTGTGCTCAGAGGGAAGAGCATGGGCATAATCAGTGAAGCCCAGAATAGCAGTGTGAGTGTGGGAAACCCAAAGCATCTTAGTATTGCGAAATCATAAAGTGTGGGGCTGGGGACGTGGTAGGACAGAGTGGCACTGTCTACAGGGGCCAGGCTGTGGAGGGTGGGGTACACTCAGTAGTGATCTTGGGACAGTCTGGATTCCCTTGTCAAGTTAGTAGGGCTGATGAGAGGGAGAAGGCAGGGTTGTATCCATATTTTTAACACACCCAGTACTACTTTGGTGCTTATACCTGGCAGATGCTCAATAAATGATTATATTGAGATAATGTAGCACTTTCAGAGGAGGGGTTCTAGTGATAATCCAAGATATGTAACTCCAGCCAGACCCCACCCCTGAGATCCAAAAGAGAATATCAAACTGCCGACTTTACAATTCCCACTTGGATGCCTTGTAGACATCCCAGATATAACATAACCAAACTGAGCCCCCAACATCCACCCTTCTCCCCACAACCAACTACCATAAACCTTGAGTCTTTCCCATTTTAGCGAATGACAATCCCAACCTTGCTCAGGCCAAATATTTTAGAGTCATCTTTGCCTGCTTTCTTCCAAGGCCTCCCAGCCCCATCCAATCCACCGGAAAACCCTATTTACTCTCCCCTCAAAAGATATCCAGATAGTGACCCTGCCTTTCGCTATCGACATCCTGATCTACGACATTATCTAACCTCTCAGCTGGATCAATGCAGAAGCCGCATGGCACCTGCCTGAATCTGCACTTGGCCTCTGTTTAGTCTATTTCTGACGAAGGAGACAGAATAGGCATTTTTTAAAAAAAAAAAAAATCAGTGTTTAAAAAAAAAAGAGGTAGAGTGACTATTCTGCTCCAAAGTGACTCCTGTCCCACTCAGAGGCCTTACTGCCACCTAAAAGCTCCTACTCAATCTGCCTCCCATCACCTCTCTGACCTCACTGCCTCCTACATCCTCTCCCAAACTGCATGGCCTCCTCACTGTTCCTCAAAGTACCTCACGCTGCCTTGGGGCACTTGCTTTAGCCTTGTTGCATTCGTTTGTCTGGAATATTCTCCCAGCTACCTGTGTAGCCAGTTCCCTCTACTCTCTCAGGGTTTCCCTCAAAGCCACCTTCTGAGTGAGGCTGTCCCCGGCCATTGCATTTAAGCATTTACACACAAGCCCACCCTGACTATTCACATCTCCTCTGGGGAAAGACCAAACGTTTTCCCCTGTATTCTCACACAGTCACCTAACGGGGCGTTTCTCACACTAGATGCCGGGGGCTTTTCCGTACACACCAAGCAAGTCTCCAGTGTTGGACGCCGGTTCTGACAGTACCGACCTGGAGATGGCACCGATTCCACAGGCTCAGGCCCCACCCCCCACCCCAGGCCCCACCCTCGCTTGCTCACAGCAGATGTGAGTCCCAAGCCCCAGGTTGTGATCTGTGCTTCTGACCAACCAGCCGTAAACTGGGCTTCCCACACCTCCTCCTCGGGTTTGATCAATTAGTTAGAGCAGCTCACAGACCTCAGGGAAACGTGTTAATTACAGTTACCCATTTGGTACAAAGGGTATTTTAAAGGATACAGCAACCAGATGAAGAGATACACAGGGCATGATGCCTGTGGAGCTGGGGTGCACCCCCACCCCCCGCATGTGGATGTGTTCGTGTTCGTTCACCAGCCTGGAAGCTCTCTCGGCCCTGCCCTTTGTGGGGTTTGCGGAGGCTTTGTTATGTCGGCATCATGGCATCATCGCTGGGTGAACTCAGCCTTCAGCACCTGCCCGCTGCCCCTCCCTCGGAGGTCAGGTGCTGGGGCTGAAAGTCCTAACCCTCTAATCATGTCCTGATCTTTCTGGTGACCAGCCCTCATTTAGGGCCCCCCCACCAGTCATCTCAGCATATAAAAGACAGTCTCCTCATTCCAGAGATTCCAAGGGTTTTAAGAGTTGTGTGCGAGGAACTGTGGAGAGGCCAAATATGTATTTCTTACTATAAATCAGTATCACATCTCGCCTCCTTGCTTTTTTTTTTCTCCTTAGTATTTGTCACTAACATTCTTTATGTTTTATTCAATTGTCTTATTGTGTCTTCCTCACTAGAAGGTAAGCTTCATGAAGGCAGAACTTTTCATCTTTTTTTTTTCCTGTGGCTGTATCCCTAGTGCCTAGAGGGTTAGTAGGCACTCAAATGTTGATGAAACGAAGGAAGAAGGAAAGCAGGGTCAACTTGTGTTAGGGACCGACCTTCCACAGCCCCACCGGACAGAAAAGCAGAGACATCGAGGATGTAATTACACAAGAGGTTTATTTTCTGGCTAGCCAGGGTCCAAGCCCCAGAGCACCAACGCAGTGGCCACTCTTGCAGGCAAGGACCCCGACCAGGGTTGCAGCGTGCCTTTTATCCCTATGGTGCATTCGCTATGCAGTGGCTGATCACGCGTGGATTATGCATTGACCTTTAACATGATTGGTTGGCTGGTAGCCCCACTATACAGGGGTTTAAACAATGCAAAGTTGGCGCAAACAAGCAAGCAAGCAATGGTTTCCATGGCAAGCAAGCAACAGTTTCCAGAAGCCGGATGTTGGTTCCGGCTTCACTGGGGGTGTGGGCCTTGCAGGTATGCAATGTCTCGACCCCTCACACTTGGCGATAACTGCGTCATCATCAGGTGCATGTTTTGGACTCTGCATCAGTAATAATGTCACGCTAGGTCGTGTTGGAGTCTGAGGCCAAAGGAAAAAATCAGTAACACAGATCTTTATATAAAATTTTGCTACTTTGTTCATCATCATGGCTTTTTTGCATTAATTTTTATTTTTAAAGTATTATTTATCCTGATTACAGAATCTTTTGAGCTCCTTAGATATTTTACTGTCGGCCAAGTGAGGCCCCCTAATCCTGACCCTGGCACTTTGAAAACTGCCTATAACACCATGGAAGAGTCAGCTCTTTTTTATGTATTTCTTAGGTATATTCCATGCAAGAATGCATTTTTTTGCTAATTATTCCATAGCTTTAAACCTGGCACAATTATAGTTTAAAAACGTCTGTTTTCTGGAAAATAACTATCTGTGGGAAAGAGGAACATTCCTGTAGAAAGCAGCCATTGTACTGTAGTGAATAACAAAGCTTTGAACTGAGAGACCTGGGTTCAAATCCCAACCCAGTTCAAATCCCTATACATTTGGGTTTGGCAGAGTTACTTCAGACCTTTAACCTTCATTTCTAATATGAGATTTAAATGTGTAACTTGAAGAGTTGTAAATGTTTGTGAAGTGTCTGGTGTATAACTAGTGCATAATAGATAGCTATTATTACTGTGTGTCCATTGGAAATGCAGAATGAATATCATGTTTAACTGCCCATCCTGCTGGCAAACTGGTAGTGGAATGCAGCTTAGAGCTTCCCAATGAGCAAATATTTCAAAATTTGACCTTTGTAACACAGGCCCAAAGGTTGATTGGAGAGCTTGCTTTCACCGTAGCTTAAAGAAATTAAGCCTCTACCTTCTGGCAGAAATGAGAGTGTCTAAGTGGACTCACATAGTTCCTAGCACATATTAGGCACTCAGTTTCATGCAAGATTAATTTTTGGTGGGTATTAATTTTTTTATTTTTTATTTTTGAGACAGAGTCTCGCTCTGTTACCTGGGCTAGAGTGCCGTGGCGTCAGCCTACCTCACAGCAACCTCAAACTTCTGGGCTCAAGCAATCCTCCTGCCTCAGCCTCCCACATAGCTGGGACTACAGGCATGTACCACCACGCCTGGCTAATTTTTTCTATTTTTAGTAGAGACGGGATCTCACACTTGTGAGAGGTTGGTCTCTAACTCCTGACCTCAAGTGATCCTCCCACCTCAGCCTCCCAGAGTTCTAGGATTACAGGTGTGAACCACCATGCCCGGCCTGTGGGTATGTTTTCAAAGTAAGTACTCATTGAAAATTAAAGATAACAGTACAAAAATATCAATACAGTATTTATTGTGGATGTGTGCTTATCTCCCATGGGTCTTGGCAGACATGATGCATTGTTTGGTGAAGATGAAAAGGGTCTTTGAGACATTTCTGCTGGAACATGATAGCATTAACGGCCCAGTGTTTTCAGTGTTGAAGAGCGGGAAAGCTGTTTGACTTAGGTAAGTATGAATAACACCTTCTTGAAGGATTATCAAGTTTTTGTGCATATTGGAAGATTAAGATATTGTGTCTTGCTTCATAGGATCATGTCTTTACAATCTTTTGTTTTTAAATTTAGAAATAAGTAGATTGGGAAAGATGATTCATGATTCTTTAGGTCATTATTTGAGGATGATATTGCTTGACCCAATTATACCACTTATAGGATGATGTACATTAATTTCACAAGTATTGTCACTGCTTAAATATGTGTATGCTTTGTTACGTTTTTATAAAATAGGGCTTTGTCATCAGGCTCTATTATCTTTTTTACCCACAAAGAAACCAGAAGTTGAGTAACTTGCCTATGCCAAAGTGAGTCATTGATGGAGCCAGGAAAAGTAGATTCCTTCCTCTATTAAACCAGCTTTTAATCTTTTAAAAGAGCTTGAGGACTGAAATAAGAGTCCTATGCCCCTTCAAAGATGAATGGATCTTCCTTTGGCTAAAGACCTTGAAGTTTTAAGTTTCTGGCCATGACAAGACAGAGGCTGGCTGTGTCCCATTTGCTTCTAACCCCCCTCACCTCTTGCTAATCATTGCTAGATTTTATCAAAGGCTGACTTGAGAAGAAAAGGCTAGAAGACTCCTTTGCTTACTTCATCCAACCTTGGCTCCCTTCTCCTGTTTTTATGGCTCTGACATGACAGCTATTTTAGACCACAAGGTTTCTTCTTAATAAGTCTGCTGGCCACAGACTGGTTCTGGCCTGTCTCAGGAGAATGCCCAGTTCATGGACTCGTGCCCTATATATCACCTTTTTATGTATAGGACCTAATTATAATACATTTAAATGTTAAATTTCCACCCCAAAGTGATCATAGGATGTATGTTACATACATGTAAACCTAATAGGCATGCATGTGGGCCTCCTTCATAAATATTCATAGCTCCTCCTATAACCTATTGAATATGTATACTTGGCCAACCCCATTCAGCATAAATTCCTGTCTTATCCCTCCCTTGAAGTGCTTGTTTGGTTTTCCAACCTGTCAGGATGGTCAGCCTGCAGGTTGTAAGAAATAATGCCTTTATAAGAAATAACATCTCCTTTCTAAATTTACAAACTTACTTTGGGACTCTTTTTCAGTCCACAAGCTTTTTGTAAGCTTCTCCTTTCCCCCAAATTCTTGATATCCCCCCCCAACCCACAACAATGCCCTTAGTAGTGTGCTGATAAATATTTAACAACTACTCATTTGTTCTCTGGAGGAAGAAACATGATTTGTAGTGTTTGTCAGTTTTCATGGTGTAAACATTTCCACCATGGCTGATTTTAGATTACCAACGTGATTTTGGCTGGCTCACAAAATTGCTGAAAATTTAACAATTGGCTTCAGTGAGCCAGTATGAGTGGCCTCCACTGTTTCCTTTATTAAAAATTGATGCCTCATTTATTAAAAATAAAAACATTAAGGCTGGGTGCGATGGCTCACACCTGTAATCTTAGCACTTTGGGAGGCCGAGGCGGGAGGATTGCTTGAGCTCAGGAGTTCGAGACCAGCCTGAGCAAGAGCGAGACCCCGTCTCTACTATAAATAGAAAGAAACTAGCCAAACAACTAAAAATAGAAAAAATTAGTTGGGTAGCTGTAGTCCCAGCTACTCAGGAGGCTGAGGCAGGAGGATCACCTGAGCCCAGGAGTTGGAGGTTGCTGTGAGCTGGGCTGACACCATGGCACTCTAGCCTGGGGAAGAGAGTGAGACTCTGTCTCAAAAAAAATAAAAATATACCCTCAGAAAAAACCCAAAAAAAAAAAAAAAAAAAAAAAGAAAAAAAAAATAAAAATAAATAAAAACATTAAAAATAACGAAGCCTAGATTTCTGAGGATTTGTACAAAGAACTTTTAATTGCAAATAGATTTTTAGTTTAATAGTAGAAAAAATAAGAAAATTATACAAAGCAGCAAAGGGAAAAGATAGAAATAGCTACTTTAATTGATAGAAAAAGCACTTAGTTTTTGTTGCCTTCCTAAAAGGTCAGCCTGGACTCACTTCTTTTCACTGAGTCATTCCAGCATGACCAGCAGAGGTTGGTAGAAGGAGATTGGCTAGTGTTGTAATATTTTGTAACTTTCAGTATGCTGAGACCACAACTTACTCTAAAATGTGGTAGCATAGGAGAGAATTTCTGACTTGGATTAGCTGCTTTTCTTGCTTTCTGTTTCTGTTTAGAGTCATCATATTATGCACTAGAGATCAAAGCAAATAATTCAGGTAATCAAAAGTTGCAAAAAAAAAAAAAACCCCATAATATTTTATAAGTGACTCTCCATGACTTCTTTCTTTCACATTTAGCCATAACTTTTATACATGTTTTCCCACATGTTGCAAGTTTAGTTGCCCTCTCTCTTTCAGCTCCAAATGGACCTGGATATTCCTTTATTTATCTCTTTCTGATTTCCTATGGCAAAGATAAATAAAGCCAGGCACCAGGTAAAGTAAGGACAGATTTTCATCAGTAACATATTATTGCAATAGGAAAAAGAGTCCAGCATTAACTGACCCGCTTCAGTTTGTGTAGAGTGACTAGGCACGTTGAAGGGAGAATGAGGGAATAGAGAGAGAGCAAATGGGGCTCAGGAGAATAAGGGAAGCAAAAAATTACAAAAAGTGGAAGGGGAGGTTGGTCCATGTGAAACTTATCTGGGTTTGCTAACTAACTGGTGCTTCTGGAATTTAGGCTCCTACCCTCCCACAGGGGCTGGGAGACAGGGGCCATGTCTTCAGGCGTTGGCTGGAACAGGCTGTAAATTCTTTGCACAGCCTTGAGCTTTCTTGTGCAGCCACTTTAAGGGGGCCTGGGGTCAATCTAGAGAAGAGGCCTTGAGTTGTTAGAAACTATGTTAGTGTTTGTTCAAGTGTTTATAGGCTGAGGTTCAGGCCAGTGGAGAAGAGGACTCAGAGGAGCTTGGCTGGAGTTTGGTCAAGGAGAGAATCTTTGTCACCTAGCAAACATTCACAGCTGATGTTGCAGGCATTCTTCTCTCTCTCAAGCCCTGAGTCCCACCCTTCACACATCAGAAGACCCAGTTTTTGACTTTGTGAAGATGGTAGCCAATAGCCTGGCCATAAGCCAACCTTGTTTTTTCTTGTAGGAAGAGGGGTCTCTCTTTCTCCTGTGTGCTAACCCTGGTGCTGAAATGAATGTCTCTGCTGGCCCTGGAAGAGAATGAATCCTTTGGAAATCTTTCAGATGGAGAATTACTCCAAGAAGGGCTACACCTGGGACTGCTCAACACAAAAGCAAATCCTTTCAAGATGACTGTCATAGTAAAGTGATTTGGGTTGCTTTTGAGCTTTAAATGAATGGAATCATACAGATGTGCTCTTTCTTTGCTCAGATTATTGTTTGTGAGATTCATTCATATTGCTGTGTGTTATTAAATACAATTGACAAAAAAAAAAAAAGGTTCCCTGGTAGCAAGAGGAATATGATAAGTGGTTCCCACTGATGCTCCTTGGCCCCTTCTACAAAACAAGCTTGTGCTCCTTTAAAAAATTTATTATAAGAGCTGGGCATGGTGATATGTGCCTGTCTCCCAGCTACTCAGGGGGCTGAGATGGGAGGACTGCTTGAGCCTGGGACTTTGAGACCAGCCTGGGTAAATAGCAAGACCATATCTTTAAAAAAATAAGAAGTAAAAAAAAAATTATTGTAATAAAAGTAATATATACTTACTATAAAAAAAGTTTTAACATTATAGAAAGGTAAAAGTATGAATCTCCCTTCTCTCACATAATTAATACAAACCCATTTCTCAGTAATAGTCACTATTACTACTAATAATTGAACAGTTACCATGTTAGGCATGTTTATAAGTATTTTACAGTTATTATTTTATTAAGGAGCTTTAGTTTGTTGCCATTTCCCCAGTACTTTATTGCTAGTGCCTAGCATATAGTAGTTGTTCAGTAGATACTTGAACACCTACCATTTTATACTACCATTGGATAAAAATTGAGTCTGACAATTACCAAGTGTTGATAAGGATGAGAAGCAACAGAAGTCTCATATCCTGCTGAGAGTGAAAATCAGTACACGTGCTTTGTAATTTGATTACATCTCAAATGTGCAAATTCGAGGATAAACCATTTTCATTCCTAATATATTAATATATTAAATATACTCTTGCACATATGCTCAAAGAGAAACATACAAGCATTTTACTGTAGTATTCTTTGTATTGTATTGTACACAATTATTGTAGCATTGTGTGTATCACTGTCTCTCTCTACATACACACATACCACAGACATTAATTTTTGTTCTGAATCATTTGGGAATAAGTTCAAAATATCATGACCAAATTGCAGAAGGATTAACATTTATAAAATATGCAAACCAATACTATAATATTTATAAATACCTACATTAATAACAGAAACAGAAAGATAAGAACAGGAATGATAAACACCAAATTCAGGTAAGTGGCCACCTTGGGAACAGGGAAGGAAATGTGTTCAGGGAGGGGTACCTGGAAACCTCACTATCTGGAATATTTTTCTTAAGCTCTATGGTGGGTACATATTTATTATTGTCTGTAACTTTTTTGTGTGACTAATATATTTTATAATTTTTAAAAAATCGGCCAGGTGCTGTGGCTCACACCTGTAATCTTAGCAGTTTGGGAGGCTGAAGTAGGAATGTCACATGAGGTCAGGAGTTCCAGACTAGTCTGAACAACAATGAGACCTTGTCTCTACAAAAAATAGAAAAATTAGCCTAGCATGATGGTTCACACCTGTAGCTACTTGGGAGCATAAGGCAGGAGGAACACTCGAGCCTGGGAGCTTGCGGCTGCAGTGAGCTATGATGATGACAGAAGTGATGATGACAGGGTGAGACACTGTCTTCAAGAAAAAAGCATCCATCTATTCCTATTTTAATGAAAGTTAAAAAAAAATCAGGAATGAATGTTGCATAATTTAATGCCTTCTTGGTGTTTATTAAAATAAATAGTATTTATTAAAATACCATTTTATTTCGAAAACTGGCCCTGGTCTCTGTATCCTGGTGTATATGACACACCTAACACATGTTTGTTAAATAAATAAATATCTTTCTCTCCCTCAATTCTTGTATATCTAAGCCCTGCTAATTTATGTCAAGGCTAAGTTCCTCTGTGAAGACTTCCCTCTTCAGCGGAACACACACTTAGGGGGCCGTAGCATAATGATGTGTACCACCAATGGGGTATAACCAGGGACAAGTGTCTTCTCATGCTTCTTTTGTCCCAGAGTTAGCTCCTCTCCTCATTTGCCACACGTACTTCAGTTAAACTATTCATTCCCCAGTTAGGGAGGGCAAGGACCTTGCCTTATTAATCACTGTATTCCCAGAATCTACTTCAGAGCCTGACACACAGTAGATTCCCTGGAAATGCTTGCTGAACCTCATTAAATGAGACGACAAACTTGCATGTATCTGATACAAATGCACGCAAATGTTTTTTTAAAAAATAAATCTTTAATTTTATAATAGTTTTAGATTTACAGAAAAATTTAAAAGATAGTACAGAGCATTCCCTTGTGCCCCTCACCAGTTTTCTCTATTGTTTTTTCTTTTCTTTTTCCTCAGATTCAAGTGAGATACATCGTTTTCCCTATTGTTAACCGAACCTCCACCTCCACCTGGGCTTTGCAGACATGCCCTGGCCAACGTGCTTCGAAAAATAAAACGTTTTTGGCGTGGGCAATCTTCTCCTGTCGTTAGGTTTTCTCAAAACTCTTTGCGCAACCCGCTCCCCCGGACCCCGCGCGACAAGAATAACCGGCTGCCGCCTCCTCCAGCCTCCCGGACGGCTAGAAGATGAGGCGCCTCGGACGCTCAGAGCAGTGCAGGACAAACGCTAGGAGGGAGCCATGGGCCGCCGCCCGCCCCTGCCAGCCCCAGCAGCGGCCCCGCAGCCCCAGCCGCGGCCCGGCGCAGCCTCCCGGCCAAAGCCCCGGACCCGGAAGCGGCGCGGCGGCGGCCGGCGCGGCGAGGCGGCGTGGGCGTGGCCGTGGGCCGGCGCCCGGCGCGGCGGCGCGCGTGGGGTGAAGGGAGCGCGGCGCGCAAGTGGCGGCGACGGCGGCTGCCAAGACGGAGGCGGTTGCTGCGCCCGGTACTGGGGTCGCTGCCTGAGGCGCAGGCGCCGTGGACTCAGCCCGCCCCGGGCCGCGGCTCGCTGTGGACTCGTCATGGCGACCGAGCAGAGGCCTTTCCACCTGGTGGTGTTCGGCGCCTCTGGCTTCACCGGCCAGTTCGTGACCGAGGAGGTGGCCCGGGAGCAGGCGGACCCGGAGCGAAGCTCCCAACTGCCCTGGGCCGTGGCGGGCCGCTGTCGGGAGAGGCTGCAGCGAGTGCTGGAGCGGGCTGCCACGAAGCTGGGTAAAGGGGGCGGGGAGGGACGGGGCTTCGCGGCGGGCGGCGCAGCCTCCTCGGAGCCCCCGACCCGGCAGAGGACTCGACGTCGCCTGAAACGGGCGTTTCTCCTCCGGGGGCGCGCCCTCCGTCGCCCCCAGCCCTGCATGAGGCCGGAGGAGGAGAGGGATCTTTCAGATATTGTCATGGCTTTGTTCCACCCTCAAATTTAAAAACATTTTTAAAATAATATTTTTTCTCCTCTTCCCCGCTCTCAAATTTCTCCCTCAGTTTGGAAGGCCCTCCTGGCGAAATATAGTCAAGACCTTTCGTTGTCCCTTTCTCTGCTCCGTCCTGCTCCAGAGCAGGGACACCTGTTGGGTTTGAACATTTCTTGTTGTTTGGTCCGATAGGAAAGTCGGGTGTTGTTTCTTCAAGATTGCTTGTACTTCCCTTTGCCTTGTGTTTTGGGGACAGGAGAGAAAGTTTATCGAGTTTTACTATAACGTTGTTGTGGCTTTTGTTTAAAAATTTTTTAAAAGAAGTTTTTTACTTGTAGGAAATATTCGTCATCAAAAAAAAGTTTGTGTTTCTGGTTTGGACGTTTACTTACTCTTTCAGCATTCATGCAGCATATATTTACTGGGTGGTCTTTTCCATGCTACGTCCTGTCCTAAGTGCTGGGGTTGCAGAGTGGGAGAGAAAGGTGACAGACACAGACCCTACCTTCATGGTTGGGGGAGACGTCTAACTTAGGACTGGATAGCCTTTAAATTTGGCTGTTAATTCTCCACCCTGGACTCCTCATACAGACAAATAGCTGTTAAGAGTTCTGGGTGTACTACATTCTTTCTGTTTAATCTTATAATTTCACACAGAGCCCTATTTATAGTGGAGATATAGGATCTTTTCTTTGTGGATATGTACAGAAGATACCATGTAGGCTGGACTCTCCTGTAACTCTTAGTATTGCCACTACCCACACACAGAATCTTAACCAAAGAGTGTTTTGGTCTTTATTTTTCCAAAAGAAGTAATTTCTCTACTAAAATATGTTCTCCTATTTCTTTTTCCTGCTCAACACCATGCAGGTACAGACTAGTTATATACCATTTGTAATGCCCAAATCAAGTTATTGTAGGAAGTACACCTTGACCCATCAAAACCTGCATTGCTCTATTGAGTCAGTTAATTCTAATTATTTCCTATTATAAGCCTACATATTTTTATATAGAGAGTGGTTTTCACACAGAATTCTCTTTTGTTGTCATGATTTCAATGTTAACAAACCCCCTCCATCTCCTATAATTGAATCATATGTAATCATTTAGTAGTTGATGAAAAACTATTTTTATGATATAAATTTCTTGGTGGAGAGGAAGCCAGCACACACACTCATCTACTCAGCATTGAAACTTGATTGTAAAATTGTCATGTTACACAGTGTTATTTACACATTGCTTATGTTAGATGATTTTTTAAAGGTTAGAAATGTTTTCTAGTAACTCTCAGTATTAACTCTATTTTCCTCATAGTGTTTTCCTTTTTTTTTTTTTTTTTTCCTTGAGACAGGATCTTACTTTGTTGCCCACACAGTTGCAGGGGCATCATCGTAGCTCACTGCAACCTCAAACTCTTGGGCTTGGCTGGTCCGAAGGTAGTGAGTTATCTCACGTGATTGTTCACAGTCAGTTACAGATTGAACTCCTTGTTCTACTACTTTCCCCCCTCCTCACTACTGCACTTGACTAGTCTTAAAAAAAAAAAAAAAAAAAAAGCAAACTCTTGGGCTCAAGCAATCCTGCCTCTGCCTCCCAAGTAGCGGGGACTATAGACCCGCAAATTAAAAAAAAATTTTTTTAGTGAGATAGAGATCTGACTGTCACCCAGGCTGATCTTGAACTCCTGGCCTCAAGCCATCCTTCTGCTTCAGCCTCCCAGCCTTTTCCTTTTTTATTACCTGATTAAAAACAGTTTTTTTTTTTTGAGACAGAGTC